GGGTTCCCTTCAAACTCTCCCTAAGTTGTGTGTGTGTGTGTGTGTTGTTTATTTATTTGCAAAAGAAAAGGTTAATTTTGCGCACAAGGGTACCGTCCGCTCCACATTTAATTTTGTTTCAATTTATCTCTGCCAGGAGCAAACGCATTTTCAGGAGATGCTAGAAGTTGTTGTTTACAACATTCAAGTGACGTGTGTGGCATTCAGTAACCTTTGGAGGTGTTGTCCAAAAGCAGCTGCCAGGGGTTTTTTCTTCCTGGGGAGCGAACTTTGCCCCAGTTAAAGTCAAAGTGCCCTCTTCTGCAGAGAGCAGAATGCCATGGAGCCGTGCCACCTGGCGCCCGCCGCTCCAGCCTCCCGGGGGCCAAGAAAGAAATTTCCATACAAACACAACATAAGGGTGTGTGATATCCTTTCAGACCGGGAAGCATTGGATTCGGGCGTGCTCGGTTTTTGGGTGGATTTAAGGTTGAGATGTAAGTAGCACAAAAGCCAAAATATTTAAATAAGAGGTGATGCAGACCAGCCAAGAAAGGACTTGCTTTGAGCTGCCCCTGGAAAGGGTTTAATGTCACTTTTGCGGTTCATCTCAGCCAGAAGCTTTTATATCAGAGCTTGCTGGCTGTAATGAAGTTATTTGATTTATCATTTGTTAATAAGTTTCCGTTCACCAAGACTTTGCATGTGTTCTTGGCAACTGTGCATTTTTTTATTTTTTGTTATACAGGCAGAACCACCAACCTGCTAATTTGCTCGGCACTAACGATGTTAGCATGCGAGTAATTGTCTTATGTCCATGCAAGATCCAGTCAATCTTCACATTCCTGGACTTGCAGCTGCTGAGGAGCCCAAGCTAATTTGCTTGTCAGAAAGCAATTTAAAAAAAAAAATAAAGTATATTAATGGACCAGAGAAAGCTGGGAAAGATTGCAGTTGTAATTAGTTAAAGCAGCTTTAGATAATTCATTAGATGCAGAACTTAGCAAATATAAGTCTCTCTCTGCTGTCTGTCCTCCAAGGAACTTCTCAATTTTGGGGTTCTGGTGTGTTTTGCAAATGGCTTTCAGGGTGTTTTTGTTTAAAAACAGGTTGGCAGAAAAGTCATTTATCTTGTTTTCTTTTTTTTAGTTGTTACTATCATGTGGATTTCCTTCCACCTCGTCTTCATAAATATCAAAGATTTGCTCGATTAGCAAAGGTTCAGCTTTTGATTTAACGGAGGTCGTAGCTGTATCCCCCTTCTTGGAAAGTCGTGTTCAAGTTAGTAAGATTTGGGGCTAAGCAGTGTTAAAATAAGTGGTCGAAAGGAAGGAAGTTACTCCTTAAATTGGGAACCAGTTGCCAAGGAGCATTGATTTGGCTCCTGTGCTGCACACTGGCGGGAAAGTGGACCTTGACGGCCATGTGATTGAGGACTGACCCTGAGTACTTATGGAATCCGGCAGCCCTGATCAAGGGCAGAGAAGACGACTTTGTATGTCCTTTAAAAGGTGGATTGTTGGTTGTTGTTGTTAGAAACGTTGTTGCTGGCCCCTTGGTCTTGGCTGTAGGAGAAAGGGCACTTCTCTAGATGTTGGGATTGAAGGCAGGGGTCTTCCAGAGCAGAGGGAGGGTCTTGTCTAAAGAGCCAAGGAGTTGCCTCGTCTTCATATTTGGGGTCTTGGGGCAGGACCACACAGCCAGCCCGGATGCCGTTGGAGGAGGATAAAAATAGCCTGCTCCTTTATAGCTCAGGCAGGACAGTTGCCTGGACAGCCAGGAATTTTGGGCCTCGGGGAAAGTGGACCTTCTGGGAGGCACTGAGGTGTTTGTGTGACTCTGCGGCTGAAGAGGCAGAGGCTGCTGGTGTGGCTTCACAATTGTGGGGCAGACCTAACTGGGCTCCATTTCTACACACAGCCTCTTTACTCAGCAGTAAAATTCCACTCTTGAGTTGCGAAAAAGTTGATGTTTGAGTCCTTAAAAGCTTGTGGTGGATTGAAAAGGTTAGTCCGTGTCGGAGCAATGGGAGGCAGGCCAGGAGGAGTAGGGGGCCGCTGTTCTGCCCTTTGAGCGCGTCACACAGTCGTGCCACTTCAAAACAATCCCTCTGGCTTGAGGGAGGGGCATCTTCTCCTCCTCCGCAAAGTTGCTGCCCTTTCAGGTCCAAGGCCCTGATTCTGAGTCCACGGACTCCCTGTGCGCATGAGTATTCCTTCCCCAACCGAGTGCTGCTCTTCTCTTGTTTCTAGGGTTGCTGAATGGTTCTGCTAGCGGTCGTGGCCTTGTTGCTCGGGCTGTGGATGGTTTGGACCAAGATGGCCAAAAGCCCCCCACTTGGTTTGAAAAAACAGAAGCCTGTCCCAGAGCAGCTGGCCGCTCCCAAAATCCAGCAGCTGCCTTCCAGCGGGTTCCCCCCACAGTTCCCGGTGGAGGAGACAGAAGCCGTATCCGCAGAGCCCAGCCAGGCCCCTGCGAGCCCATCGCGGCAGCCCCCTCCGTGCACCCAGATGTCCACAGACCCCTCCAGCCAACTCAAGCCGCCCATTCCCCGCCCTTCCTCGGACTGCGCGCTGTCTCCGGCCACTGATTCCGCCAGGCCTTCGAGCCGGTGTGTCCGAGGGCCCTCCACGCAGCTCTTGAAGCAAATGCACTCCCTGTCCCTTGAAGAAGAGGCCACCAGCCCTGCCCAGAGGAAGCAGCAAGCCATGGCCAAGTTTGTCCTGGGCTCCTTTGAAGATAATTCTTCGGACGAGGAGCTGGTGGCCGGAGGAGCCTTTCCAAGGGGCAGGAGGAGACGGGCCAGCCTGGGCCATCCCAGGTCTTCCTCCTCCGTGGACTCGGAAGCAAGCCTCGTCATGAGGTAGGTTGGTTTGAGGAGCCGATGCAGGGAGGGTCCAGGTGGGCTGCCTCTCACTTCCAAACAGTTGGTTAAATGCGACTTGTTTCAGGAGATGTTTTGGATAGAAGCCACTCTTCTGCAGTCTCCTTTTTAGTAGCTGGGATCTACTTTCTAATCTTCTTTGCTTGTGCGTATTTGTGTCGTTGCCATTCAAGCCTACTTCCTATTTATAAAGAGTTGTTGACGGCTTCTACCCCAAGGGACTCCTAAGGGGCATTCACGCTGGAAACCCATCAGAATACACGTGGATTAAAAGGGAACATACATTTAACTCTGAGAGATAAATTCGTGCGATACCATTTGAGTTTGACGGGCAGAAGAGTCCCTGCCTTCTTCAGCCACCAGAATGTCCTGATGGGATACAATATGCCAAGGAATACGCCGGCTTCCTCTCAAGTAAATGTGCATTTGCTGCAGCTGAAAGGAGTCCTGTGCACCTTTGACTCCGGTTAAGCTGCGTTAAATGCAGCCGGGTGCCTTTAGTATTGGCTGAATTGCCTCTTGCTCTAAAAATGCAAGTTGTTGAACTTGGGACTTTTCTACTGTGCTGGAGAGGAAAGGAGAAAGCCGCCTTCAGCCAGAGGCTAAAATGGAACCGCATGAATAGTGTGGCTGTCTGATAAAATGCTTAAAAAAACCCAACAGAGCAGCTTATCTCTCTCGTGTGTCATTTCTCCTGGTTGACTCAGTAACCCGAGCAAAGCTCCACTTTGGCTCTTGTTTTAACCTGTTTAATTTACTCCATGCATTTCAAGTATTACAAACTTTCCACATTTGGTGTATTGAAGCCAGAAAGTGTGGCTGTCAGGGCTGTGTCCCTCTCTCTGCAGCCATCGTGTTCAGGTTTGCCAAAGTCCCAGGCCAAAATGCCTCCGGCACCAACCAGGGGAAGGCTCTCTCCGCATTTCTAGCTGGATGTCAAGAGAAATCCTTGAAGCTCTTCGATTGTGCAGGCACGAAGGACTTACAGCAGCTGGTCTTGGGAGGAAAACCGGAGCAGCCTGGGATTTCTGTGAAATGTTCCCAACACTTTTTTTAAACGGCTTTTTGAAATAACGGGTGCAAATCGAAATAGTGAGGAGCAAGGGGATCTTCAGGTCCCGGAAGCCATAAATCCTTGTGACGGGAGTGCAGAGAATTATCAGCCGGTTCTTTCCACTGTGGATATATTCTGTCCCTTTCATGCCCACCATGTCTTACTTTATGCGTTGATATCTTCCTTTTTATTTCGCTTAGAGAGTTTTGGCAGTACAATGAAGGCGTAAAATAGGAAGAAAGCAGATCAGTTCCTGGAGCCATTAAATGAGCTACAGTGCTGTTAACGGAGGCTTATCAGCAATCTTAAGCAGCAGAGGCTGCTTGGGATCAGGGGCCAAGGATAGCCTTTCAGTTGATAACTAAATCAGTGATCGGGGAGACCCCGAGTCTTGTTGCTCTTTATGGCCTGTCACACAGTCGGGAGGTTTTTCCTCCCTTGAGCCACCTGGGGGTGCTGCTGGGGAGCGGCTGAGCCGCATCTGGCCCCTCGCCCAGCGGGGAAGGGGAAGCCAAGAGGAGGGGGAAATCAGAGAAATGGAGGAGGAGGAAGAAGAGGTGGCCTCCGACTCTGCTCCTGTCCGCCTCTCTGGGGGTTCCAAAGCTGCAGGAGAGGAGAGGCAGAAGCAGCTCTCTGGAACTGGGTGCAGCTCCCTGGAGGTCAGTACCGGCCAGCGGGATTCGGACTCGCTTTGGGTCAGCTGAAGACTTCGATCTGCTGAGCAGCCCAAGCGGGAAGGAGAAAGGGGACAGCTTGAGATAACCAAACAAACGTCCCTTTCTCAGAGCTCATGCAGAGTCCGGCGGCAGCAGCAGCAGCTCCTTTGCAGAGGTGGGGCAGGCAGGGGGGCGGGGGGGATGCTAGCAACAGCTGCTGGAGGCCCTTCCTTCAAACTCCCTTGGGGGGGGCTGAGAATCGCCCCCTCCTGAAGGTGGGCAGAGAAAGCCGCTCGCGAAAGGAGGGAGTAACTGGCGCTTCCTGTGCGGGTGTTTCCAAACGCTCTTAAGCCGAGACGCCCTTTTTGTCCTTCAGCTGCCACAGACACCCACAACTGTTTGCAGAGAGTTTCTCACAACAATTCCAGAAGCAAGTTTCTTCCGAACGAGGCCTTCGCTTTTCAGGGATTGTTTTGCTAGTGATGTTTCCAGGAAATGTTGCCCCCAGCTAAACTGTCCAATTTAGAAAACAAGCCCATCTTTCCAGAGTTTAGCATGGGAAGTCTTCCTTCCTATCCTCTTTGTGGCTTTCGCCTGCCCTAGTCCACTTCCTCCGTTTGAAATGAGGAGCTTTTGAAGGACCGGCAGCCTAACCGAAGGTGCTCCAGAAGGAAGGCATACAGATGTGCGTGTTTTGCATTAGAAGGCTCCACCTTTGACCAAAAGTCTGTTAACTGAAAAGGAAGGTGCTTAACAAGGGGCAAGACCCCCAGAAGAGAGACGACGGGTGGTGCCACAAATTAGTGAAACAATTTCACCTTCATTAAGGAACTTCTTGTACCTTCATCTGCTTTCTCTCCCCCCCCCCCCCCCCTCCAATTGACCGCTTCTGCTTCGACCGGCCAGCAACTTGTCCCCGCTTGCCCGGGGACTGGCCTCTGATTGGCTGGCGGGGAGAAATTGACTGCTCTTCTCCCCAGCAGTCTAAATAACAGCTTCCAAGTAATTTGAGGTCCATCTTGCATCCTTCCAAGCTGTGGATGGAACCTATAGAAATATTTCCGCCTCCTTCCAGGCCCAGCATGTCAGGGATGTACCTGGTGAAGAAAGGGCGGGAGCAGAGGAAACTGGACCTCCACAGGGACTTCACGGTGGCGTCACCTGCTGAATTCGTGACTCGTTTTGGAGGAAACTGTGTGATTGAAAAGGTACGGCTGCTGAAGAAGAAGCGATGCTCCCCTTTATCATGAGCTCAGTCCAGACAAGACCGAGTGGCTGTTGTGTTTCCCTCCCAAAAATTTGGCTAGTATTCCATCACTCAG